GGAGATTACTGTTGATGCATCATTTCTAACATTTGAGTCATTTGCTCTTTCAGCGTAATAAGCTCGACGGTGAGCTTTCGGTTTTGTTCTTCTAGTTGTTCCATCTTTCTAGCCTTTTGAGCACGAGTGAGGACGGGCGGAAGACCAGCCACCTTCTAAATGATTTTAATGATTCTTATTATAACTTTTTATTTTAAATGATTAGCGTGGAATAAATATGCCCTAGGATGAATGTGTTTATGTATGAGAGATTTTATTATGATGATGTTTGTGCATACTTTTCTTAATGCATTGGTTTTCTCTCTTGGTTTTACCACTTATTGAATGATGAATGATACGACTTTGCCAAGAATTTTTTTATTATAAAAGGTATGTTTATGGCTTTAATTTGTTTTTATATTTTTTTTATGATTTTTAGGGTTTTTCACTTTTTTGTTTGTTGTATGATTACCCTATGCTAATGCATCAATACAAATGCAGCAAACGTATGCACACACAATTCATACATCCGCGAGCGGAGCCACGCTTATTTAATCACGAGGTAGGATTTTCCTGCAGAAACGTGTTTGGTTTAGGTGGTTCTAACTGTTCTCACCAGGCCAAAGGTCCCCAAGGTGCCCCCATTATAGGGACCTCTCAACTTTCAATCCTCGGGTCATGCACGGAACTCGATGTCGACATCCTTAGACCAAAAGAAGAGAGTTATCACCTTGAGTTGGTGGTTTTCGGACAACGGTAGTAGCCCCGTGTGCCAACTAACCGATCGTATCTCGCCACCCACTCCCTATAGATATTCACTCTTGCCCCAGGGTATAGAGGGACTGTTGTGTGCAAGGGTTTTTGTGTGCAATTTATATTTCAAACAATTGCAGAAATAATCATACAGCAGTTATATAAAGCCATACAATAAAAACATACAGAAGGGTAAAGGCGTAATTTCAAATCTTCACTTAGTTTGAATTTATCTCGTCACTAAATGGGATCAACTCTCTAGCTTCCCCAGTGGAGTCGCCATCTGTCGCCGGCGTCCCTTTCCGACGTCCGGGGAGGGAACGTCTTTGAGACGTTAATGCGAGCGGTCGCGGAAAGATGGTTTAGACTCGCGTATTTGTTTTAAAAGGTTTTCGAAAAAGGGTTCTTATGGAGTCGCCACCAATGTTTTAACCATAAACATTGGAAAAGGGAAAAATATTGATTTTAAGAAAAACCGCACTTGGCCATTATAACCAGAGTTGGGTAAGGGAGTTAGTTACGTGTGGGGAAGGTATTAGCACCCCACAACGCCCCTTTCGGGTTCCCTATGACAGATTAATTCATTTAAAGAAAAGACTTTGAGAAATTACGCGATTACCCTATTTTATTGCATAATATTGAAATAGCTATTTACATAATTTTAAATAAAACTAAATAAAGCAATAGAAGGAATATTAAAATGACTATCTACATGATTTTATTCTATATGACGCAATAAATAAAATAAAACAATAAATAAAGCAATAAAAGAGAAGGGAATTGAAAAGAACCTCCGTAGCAAGCTTTATATTGAGAATCTCGAAGCCGTGAGGATGCGTTTTGGCAACCCCTCTTTCTACACAAGACTCTCCTCACCAATACAAGAACGACTCTCTTAAAAATTTAAAGAAGAATCAAATGCCGGAATCTAATTCCTTAACCGATTGTTACCTATTTAAGGCGATCGGAAAGATCATTTGAGAGAGGGAGAGAAGTAGACGAGTGCTCTAAAGTGTTTCAGAGCTCTCTGGAGTGTCTGTGGTGAGCTGGGTGTACTGAAGTGTGTAAAAAAGTGACAAATGAGCCTCCTATTTATAGTTTTTCGCAGCTGGCGCACTTTGGGACGGCCATCCTGGGTGGGACGGCCGTCCTGGGCTGGGACGGCCGTCCCAAATGGCATTTTTACACGGAGCGGGACCCCAGGAAGGCCGGGACGGCCGTCCCACTTAGCTGGGGGTTGGGACGGCCGTCCCAACTTTGGGACGCGCGTCCCACTTGAACCTGGAGGGTTGGGACGGCCGTCCCACTTTGGGACGGCCGTCTCAACCTGTTCTGGCCAGTTTTCGCGCTTTTGGGACCCCGGGAAGCTTTCCTTGCTGTTTTCGGGCGTAGATTGATGCTGATGTGTGTCCGTTGAAGCTTTATCTTCATATAGGAAGTCTTCTTGGCCTTCATTAAGATGCCGGGCGAGCTTTGTCTTTGTGTAGGAAGTCTCTTTTGGCTTTTATCGTGTGAATGAGTGATCTCTGTGTTTGTTGCGGGAGGTTTCCTCAGTTTTGGGAAGCCGGATGCACTCCTTTTTTGGGCGACGTTCCTCTAGCCTTTATTTTGAGAGGCCCGGGCAAAATTAGGGGTCTACAACAGGTAACAACAGAATTAAAGAGAGAAAGGTTTAGAAAGATACAACCAAGATTTATATTGGTTCACCCAATCCCAGGGCTACGTCTAATTCCCAGCCAAATTCCAGCTGAGTTCCACTAGATTGAATGTTTTACAGATTACAATTCCAATCACACACCCAATCTACCACAAGAAAAAAATTCCAGTTCTTGCACCTAAACCTTCACCAAGAACCAATTTCCAGTTCTTGAACAACCCTACAGCCAAATTCCAGCCACAGAAACCAATGCCCACACTTCCAGACACCCACAATACAGTAAAGAGAATTAAAGAAACAAAGAGAAGAAACTAGAACACTCAAACCCGGTTTATGCAGCTCTGCAGAATGAGTTTCTTCACCAAAAGAATGCAAAATTTGCCTCAAGAAATAACTTTGAGAAACTTCACAAAACTTGCGTGATTCTTTCTTGAAAGCAGCTCTTATGATTGCTTGATTGATTGCTCAAAGATGTATTTTAAAAGACTCAAGCAATCCTGTTTATATAGAAGATTTTTCAAACTGCTGGTTTAATTAATCTGTTGAAACAATCTTTTAATCTGTTAAAAGTCTTGAATTAATATGTTAAAACTTCTTTTAATCTGTTAAAATGTTCTTGATCATTTTTCAAATTTGTTTTAACTGATACGACAATGTTTATATCAATTAAAACACTTTGTAAAAAATATCTTAAGTAACCTTTTAACCAAGTAACCTTTGACTGCAGCAGAATAGTCATTGACTTCATCAAATCAACAAGATCTTCGTTAAATGATTCAATAAGATCTTCATCACTTTCACTTCCAAATAAGAAAAAAATTAATTCCTTGTTGTTAGAGAGTCATCCTTGGTTGTTGAAATTGCAATGTCATTTGCAAGCACTGCCAAATGTGACATTGAGAAATTTGATGGAAATGATCAATTTTGGCTTGTGGCAAACTCAAGTCAAAGATGTGCTCATACAATTTAGATTTCATAAGGTGTTAAAAGGAAGAACTTCTGAATGGATTTAAATATCCACATGGCATAACCGCAATGTCATGGAAAATGATGAGTCTTTGCTAACAATAATTGTGTACGGGCATTGGCTAACATTGATGCAAGGTGTATAGAGATTATACACGAGCATTGGTTAACATTGATGTAGGTGTGCATGGATATTGACTAATATTGATACAGGATGTGTGGTGATTATACACGGACATTGGTTAACATTAATGCAAGTGTGCAGTGAAAGGAAATTCTTGAAATAATTTAACTCCAAGTGAGTATACTTTTTATGATGGAGTATGAATGATAAGAAGGAATATGTGTTTATTTTCATCATGGTGAAGATTATTGGGTTGATAAAAATAATATATCTTGAAAAACTCCACATCACCTTGGATAAGTAATGAAGTGGATGATAGTAGTTATATAATGAACTTAAAGTACATGATGTTCTAACACCTCGATTAACAATATTTTAAGCTTATATTTAACTATTTCTTATATTCTTGTAGTAGAGTATTATAAGGCTTGGTTTAAATTCTTGTTTTGAAGAGTGTGAGTATATTTGGGATCAAAGGACATGGAAGAATAATCTATGTGTTGCAAATTTTTTTACATAATATTATTCTTTGATTGTCATTAGATAATGATCATAATTTTTTCTCCAATTTTAAAGTTTTTCCATAACATTTTCCTGTTGATTATTTTTATTTTATTTCTTTATTAATATAATAATTGTTGATTATTTTTATTTTATTTCTTTATTAAAATAATTGTTGATTATTTTTATTTTATTTCTTTATTAATAAAATAATTCTCGAAGATAAAAACATTGATATTATCTTCTAACCATTTTTTCCCATCACCTAGTGCGCTTACAATTAAGGAAAATTACAACATGATAAATTATTATAAAAATAAGGATTATGACTACAAATATATATAAACAAATTATCATGTCTCCAATCCCAACTCCTAAAACTCTAAATGAATTCTCTAATAATGGATTAAGAATTATTGATCAATATTTCTACAACAATACGTGATCATTTTATCTGGAAATATTAGTCTCATCAACAAAAATAAAAATAAAAATAATTTATAAATAAAAATTTATAATTTAATATCTTAAGATTTTAAATAAGAATAGAATTTCATTAGTTAACTTTTTTTTATGAATCTATCTAAAAAGACCCATAATTATTTTATATTGCATCCCAAAATCAAACCGAAATCTTAGAACTTCATGAAAATATGGATTATGATTCGGAACCATGGATTATGGAAATAAAGCAAAATATGTTATAATTCTTTTTCTTTATTTCTTTAGATCAACATGACTACTTAACTTACAAACAAAAAATATGTTTTTGAAATTTCTTTTTCTGTTAAAAAGGAGAGATTTTCAATTTTTGTTCTATTTTTCTAACAAAAGTCAAGTGTTGTCTGAGTTTAATAAAATCATAAATTAAAAAATTCTCTTATTTTTTTTAAAATGAAATTATCAAACTTTTGAATTATCAACCATACTATTTACACCAGTTGCACCATTGCTTGTACCGTACAACCTCTTGGAGATTACAAAATCCTTAATCACTGTTCTCTCTCTATATATATATATATGTGTGTTCAAGAAGAAGAAGGATTTGAGCGCATTGGTCAGTATCTCGCCGCTGAAATTCCTTATAATATCACGATATCTGTTGTACAGAATCACCCATCCATAGTTGGTGGCTTTCTTCACATGCAGAAGCACCTCAAGATTCACCACATCCGGTTCCACGAAACCACTTTCTTCTTCACTTGAGTCCGCTGGCAGGGCCAGGAACAGCGAGTTATTAGACGCAACCAAGTTGACCCAGTTGTGTCTCACGAGTCCAACAAGGGCTTGGTGCCGTCCTCAATGTTGTATTCACAAGAGGGGTCGTGGTAGAACTGAACGAAGATGTGGTCGAAAAGTTTGGTTGTGATGGCTTTCCCAAGATTGTGAACTGGGATTTGACACCGAGGGGCGGCAACCAAGTGAAAGTAACGGCCTTTGGTGCGAAGGAAAAAGTCGAGTTCTTTGACAAGGTCATCCCAGTGATCCTCTGTGGCTCTGATGTGGAACTCTATGCCGTCCAACTCCACCCTTCCGATTGGACCAAATCCGCCACTGAGAAAGCTGGTGTAGAGGTAGTTGGCGAAGCGCTTTGCATCCTCGGTGGAGTTGAGGGAGTACTCGTAAAACGTGATGGGTCCTCCGATGAAGAGGAACACTTTGACGCCTTTGGCCTAGGAATCAATGGAGAAACACAGCTTTAGCTAAATTATGAGTGGTATAACCAATGGGTTTTAAACTTATTTATGATTTACGTTTGACATTTGAAAATTGTTAAGTGATAAAAAGTTGATATAATTATGCCTTGAATTGTTATAAAACCACTTAACTTATGTTAATTCTAATATATTTTTCTTCCAATATAGGATGAATTTGAGAATACCTTGATACAAGAGTAAGAAGCATAATTGTCAGCATAATTTGAGTAAAATTGAAAGAAAGAAGAGCGTTTAAGCGAATGAATTATGCAAGGTCTGACCCAAATTCTCTTATAAAAAGATAAGTTGTGTTTTGAGAAAGGCAAACAGTCTTGGAGGAGAGGAGACACGACTACTGTTAGGGTTTTGTCTAATCTTCATCAATTCTTCACTTCTTCATCAATTGGAGCATTGTAATGGCCAACATGAGTGACTAACTTCATTCTCTTAGGATTCAGTGCACTTCTTTGAATTCTTTTGTATCATGGTGATATTTTGAAATATGAATCTATGCTTTGATGTTGTTATTCTTATCCTTTATGCTTTTGGAATGATTTATTCTTGATTGTTTGAAGTATGATTGGAAAATATATCTTGAATCCTAGATCACGATAAGAATATTTGTTACGTTAATTGCCAAGAATGGAATGAATGTATCAATTGCTTAAACACCCTAACCCTAATGCTGGAAAATCTGTTAATTGTGTGAGGAATCAACATTTATTAGGTTTTCTTATGAATTTCATGTGTGAGGAATCAACATTGATGATTTGAGTAGGTGGCATCAACATTGTTAGGTTAATTGACGTTCTTAATTGACATATCCATTACAAAAGAGGGATAAGGAAGGAAGTCAATCCTAAGTACCTTTAATTGATATTTTCTCAACAATTTACAGTTCTTTGTCATTTAAATTCAACTAAACTCTTATTTGCAAAACTCAATCTGTTTAATATACTTAGTAAGCATAATTGCGAATTTTTATTGAAACTGTTCCTCGTGGGATCAACTTTTATTTGATCGAAATACTATACTGCGATTGATAATTTTGGTACGTTTGTCAATAATTCAACAAGTATTTCTAGCGCCGTTGTCGAGGAACGGTGTTCTTTGAGAATTCTTTGTTTAGCTTATTGAGTATTTTATTTTTATTTCTGTTTTATTATTTTTATTATTATTATTATTATTATTATTATTATTATTATTATCATTATCATTATTATTATCATTATTATTATTATTATTATTATTATTATTATTATCATTATTATCATTATTATTATTATTATTATTATCATTATTATCATTATTATTATTATTATTATTATCATTATTATTATCATTATCATTATTATTATTATTATTATTATTATTATTATTATTATCATTATCATTATTATCATTATTATTATTATCATTATCATTATTATTATTATTATTATTATTATTTAGTTTTTAGTTTGTGCTAATATTTGTTTGAGTTACTCTTTTGATTTATGCGTTTAAGAGGACGAGTATCTTCGAAGAAGGGAAACTCAAGAACAAACTACAAAAGCATCTGCTAATTCTTCTTTCACACTTGATTTACCAGACCCAATTATAGAAGATATGGCGGAAGAAGGAGCAAATCTGAATTCGAATCCAGATCCAAATATAAATCCAAATCAAAACCCAAATGCAAATCCACCTAGAAGAACTCTTAGAAATTGTGTTATGCAGCAAGGTCGAAGACATTTTTCCAGTATTGTCATTCCGGATGATCATACATTGCAGAAGAATCCAGCTTTCTTAAGCTTGATTAGTGCTCATCAATTCACTGGATTAGATCATGAAGACCCTTATATTCATTTGTCTACTTTTTATGAGTTGATTGGTACCATGGGATTTAGAGCAGCAAATCTTGAATCTGCATATTTGATATTATTTCCTTTTTCTTTGGTAGGTAGGGCAAAGGAGTGGCTGAAAGCACATCCTAATCAGAGTTTGACTAATTGGAGTAGTGGAGAAAAGAAGTTTCTGAATAAATTTTTCCCACCATCCTGCTACATCAAAGCAAAATCTGACATCACTTCTTTCAGACAAGGAGCAGATGAACAATTTTGTGAAGCATGAGAGAAATTTAAATCACTGTTGAGAAGTTGCCCAAATCATGGATTTGATGACGTTTCTCAGTTGAATATTTTCTATACTGGCTTGCGACATGATGCAAAGATGTTATTAGAGGCTGCAGCAAGAGGATCCATGTTGGATGTAGAAATTGATCATGCCACAAGAATTATTGATGCACTAGCTTTTACAGACCAACAGGCCCAACATGATAGACATCAAATTCAAAGGAAGGGAGTCCTTGAACTTAACATCACAGATTCTCTCTTAGCCCAGAATAAAATTTTGACCCAACAAATTGAAGCATTGAACCAGAAAATAGAGAAATTACCTCAACAAATGCACACAGTACAAACTATTCCTAATCAACAGATGAGTTGTGATTTGTGTGGAGGTGATCATTCAAATGAGCAATGCTCTTATCAAGGCAACATTCAGCAAGAAGAAGCTAATTATATGGGGGCCCAAGGTAGTAGTCAAGGCAGACAAGGTAATTTTCCTAATCCCAATAATTATCAGAATAATTTTGCACAAGGATGGAGAGAGAATCAAAATCAGAATCAGAATTTTGGGTGGAACCAAGGTGTTAGCTCATCTACTAGACAACATACATTTCAACAACAGTCATATCAGCAACCCCCATATCAACAACAACAACATCATTATCCTTCAATGCCTAACAGAATAAGTAAATTGGAGGATACTTTAAAAAAATTCTTGCAAGGCACTATGGCTAATTAGAAAAATACTGAGGCTTCATTCAGAAATATAGAGACCCAGATAGGCCAATTGGCTAAGCAATTATCTGAGCAGCAACAAGGAGGACAATTTTCAACTAACACACAGACCAACCCCAAGGAGCAATGCAATTCAATAACTACAAGGAGTGGAAAAGTTGTAGGTAAGGGGATTGGTGACAATATAGTTGTTGAAGAAGAAGTCTTGGTAAAAGAAGATGAAGAGAAAGAAGATGAGAATAATAAAGGAAGACATATTCCTAATAAGAAGAACGAAGAGAAGATAGAAAAAGGAGGGAGTCAAAAACCATTTGTAGAGAAGTTACCGTATTCCAAGGCTCCTTCACAAATAGATAAAGAAAGACAGTTTGCAAGATTCATGGATATTTTCAAGCAATTGCAAATTAATATATCATTTGTGGAAGCTATGGAGCAAATGTCAACATACGCCAAATTCATGAAAGAGCTCTTAACTAAGAAAAGAAGATTTACTGATGAAACAGTAGAGTTAGAGGCAGGATGCAGTGCTATATTCCAAAAATCATTGCCTCAAAAGTCCAAGGACCCTGGAAGTTTCACTATACCAGTCACAATTGGTGAATTACCGATGAAAAAATCATTGCTTGATTTAGGGGCCAGTATAAACCTCATGCCATTATCTATGCTTAAAAGAATAGGAGACTTGGAAGTAAAGCCTACAAGAATGACATTGCAGCTAGCTGACAGATCTCTAAAGATTCCTTATGGAGTAGCAGAAGATGTTTTAGTTAGAGTGGACAAATTCATATTTCCTGTTGATTTTGTGATTATGGACATGGAGGAAAATGAGGAAGTCCCATTGATCTTGGGAAGACCATTTATGAAGACTGCCAAAGTAATTATAGATGTTGACATGGGCAAGTTGAAAATTAGAAGTGGAGATGATGAAGTTAATTTTAATCTGTTTGAAGTTGTACAACAACCGAAAAACAAGAAAGATTGTCTCAGAATAGATACTTTGGATGAATTACCCATCTCAACTGAAAAACAAGATTACAAGTCTGTTGCACAACCCCAAAGACATCTTAGTCTGACTATGAAGGAAGTTATTCAAAGAGAGGTACTGAAACCTCCTGAAACAGGTATGATTTATCCAATATCTGACAGTTGTAAGGTTATTCGCAATGAGAAGAATAAGTTCATTCCCATAAGGATAGTCAAGGGATGGAGAATGCGTATATATCACCTTGATCACTCACCTGCATGAGCCCTAAAACAAATAGGCATTGAGCTGAAGACGTTAAATAAACGCTCCTGGGAGGCAACCCAATGTTTTGAATTTTTTTTTTTTTTGCAGTTTCAATTTTTTTGTGCATTTTTCTTCCTTAGTTCTTTCTTTGCAAGATTGCTCCAGGTACACAGTGTACTTCTCCTCAAGACTTTGAAGCCTTACTTCAATGGCCAGGGGACAATCCAACTTTTCTGGAGGGGGTGAGAAAGTCTACAACCGAGGTTGAGGCACAAGATAAGGAGTACATGACAAGTGAAGAAAATGAGGGAGGAAACTTACTTTGCTTTTAATGTTTTTAATTCCTTTGTTTTTAATTTAATGTTTTTAATTACTTTATTTTAAATTTTGAATTTCGTGTTGTCCCATAATTTATTTTAGAGTCATATATGAGATTATTGCTTATTGTCTAATTCAAATCTAGAACGTGAAAAATAATTTTGATTGTTTCCAATAACAAGTGATTTTGGGATATTGAGTATGATAGTGAAAAGGAATTGATGAGGAAAATTAGGAATTAACTGAATTGGAGAAGCTAGCCAAAACCCAGGTGAGCAGGGTACCAAAAATAGATAAATTGAGTGTCAACACTTTGTGATGATAACTGATATTGATTGATTCTTTGATGTGATTACATGTTGGCAAGACTTGAAAATGATAAAGGCATTTTTTGTCTTTGTAGTAGATATAACCCAGAGCCAAATAGTCAACCATGCATTAATTATCGGACATCCATTTGAACCCCTTCTGAGCCAAAAATAATATTGTTTCTTAAACAGAACCCTTAAGCCTAAACACTATTTATCTACCTTCCTATATTTGAGAAAGGAAATGAGTATAAATGTCACTATTTTTCTTATTGTTGGGTATTGTTATTGTTGTCCTACAGGTATTGT